TGATCTTGGCAAGATAAGCTATCATGGAGGGCTCTTTGGCCTCATAGCTGCCACTGATCTGATATGCAACTAGCTGAGAGTCTGTTTTTAAGCAGACATGATCGGCTTCCAAGGAGATGCATAATTGTAGGCCGGCGATTGCTGCCTCATATTCGGCTTCATTGTTCGAGGCCTTAAAAGAAAATTTTAGTGCATACTCAAAGGATTTGCCTTCGGGAGAAGTTATCACTACTCCTGCCCCCGAACCGTTTTCGGTGGAAGACCCATCCGTAAACACGGTCCAGACTTTCCTTTCACTGTCCAGCGCTTCTTGGTATGAGCATTCGGCCAAGAAATCCGCTAGGGCTTGAGCCTTAATGGCAGCCCTCGGACGGTAGCTGATGCTGAATTCGGTGAGCTCAAAAGCCCACTTGGCTAGCCTACCGGATTTTTCAACCTTGCCGAGAACTTTTTCCAACGGCTGATCAGTTAAGACCACTATCTGATGGCAATCAAAATAGGGCCTCAGCTTCCGAGCAGCTACTACTACCGCGAAAGCAACTTTCTCGAGTAGAGGATAGCGGGTCTCGGCATCCGTCAGTGTATGACTGACGAAATAGATCGGTTGTTGACTCTTACTCTCTTCCCTCAGCAATACTGCGCTGATGGTGGCCGGGCTAACGGCCACATATAGGTATAAAGTTTCTCCTTCAGCTGGGCTAGCCAGCGTTGGGAGTCGAGCCAGATGCTCCCGAAGCTGTTGAAAGGCGTCTTTTTGCTCTTCCTCCCAAACAAGCTCTTTTGTTTTCGGGAGTTTCAGGGCTTTGAAGAAGGGTAACCCCTTATCCGAAGCTCTGGAAATGAACCTCGAGAGGGTTGCCATTCTTCCGGTGAGCCGCTGAACATCCCGCTTCGTTTTCGGCTCAGGAAGGTCGAGCGCCGCTTTGACTTTAGAGGGATTGGCATCAATCCCCCTTTTGCTGACCATGAACCCCAGGAATTTCCCTGACTTCACGCCGAAGACACACTTCTTCGGATTCAGCTTCATTTGATGCTTTCTCAAGGTGGCGAAAGTTTCAGCCAGGTCCTTTACATGGTCCTCTAGTTTTTTGCTTTTGACGATTGAATCGTCAACATAGACTTCCATGTTTCGGCCCTTTTGATCGGCGAAAACTTGATCCACCAGCCTTTGATAGGTTACCCCCGCATTTTTCAATCCGAAGGGCATCATTTTGTAATTGTATACCCCAGCGTTCGTGACAAATGTTGTCTTGGCTCGATCGTCGGGGTGCATAAAGATCTGATGATACCCCGAGAATGCGTCCATGAAGCTAAGCAAGGCATGGCCACTTGTCGAATCGACTAGCTGATCGATTCTCGGCAAGGGATAGAAATCCTTTGGACAAGCCTTATTTAGGTCCGTGAAGTCAACGCACATCCTCCAGGTACCATTGGGCTTCTGAACCATCACCACATTTGCCAGCCATTCTGGATATTGGCAAGGTTCAATGAATCCTGCCTCCAATAATTTTTTGACTTCGGCTGCGATGTCTCGGTTCTTATTGGCGGAGTAATTCCGCTTCTTTTGCTTAACTGGTCGACACGTTGGGTCAACATTAAGCTTATGGGAGATGAGGTCTGAACTTATCCCGGGCATATCAGCTGCCGAGAAAGCAAACACATCTCTGTTATCCCGAAGGAGCTGAATAAGTTCACAACGGGTGCTAGGATCAAGGTCCATCCCGATTGTTACACATTTCTCAGCATCTCCTTCGGCCAACTCAACTGTTTCAGTCTGTTGGTCCATGTCCATTGCCGATGGACTGGACTCTTCAGAATCTGGTCTGCTGCCAATGTCAGCAGGTGTCCCAGTCTTTGTGTTCTTCGGCTGGCTCTCTTAGTCTTGCGGCTCAGCTGAAGAGCTAGCCTTTTCCCTTTCGGGCCCTTTTTCTCTGGGCACGGATCCTTGGGCCGAAGCACTTAGGCCTTTCGGCTTTTTTGTGCTTGGCTCTCTTTCTTTTCCTTTCCCCTCCTCATCCTTGTCGTCATCTGGGCGACTACTGGATGGCTTGAGGTAGTTGCACCATCGGGCGTCCTTTTGGTTGCCCTGTATCCTTTCGGGGAAGCCGGCGTCTGAGACGTAAATCATCAGCTGATGATAAGTTGAGACGACCCCTTGGATCTCGTGAATTATGGGTCTCCCCAAAATCACGTTGTACACTGAAGGAGCGTCGATGACCAAAAATTCAATCATGACGTTCCGGGCTGCCTCATCGCAACCGATGGTGATAGGAAGTGTCACCTTCCCATCTGGATAAGTTGAAGCCCCATTGAACCCGGATACCGGATAGGGTACCGGCGTAAGGTGCTTGGGCTTCAGCTTAATTTGATTGTAGGCCTTTCGGAACAGAATGTTTGCTCCACTGCCACCGTCAACAAGGACCTTACTGACGTCGTGGTTGGCCACCGTGGCGATGATCACCAACGGATCCTCATGAGGGAACGTGATCCCCCGGCAGTCGGCGGCTGTGAACGTCATGTTCGGCACCGGCGACTGGGGAGATTGAATGTCAGCGTTGTTCACCTGGTGAGTCAAAGCTCTAAGGTGGCGCTTGTGCTCCCTCCGCGAGTATATTCCTCCCGAGATAACATTGATCGGAGGGAATTTCCCCTCCGGCTTTTTACTGTTTTTCCGGGGGAAATCAAGGTCCTGCCGAGGGTCCTTTGCTGACCTCTCGGATTCTTTTTTCTCGCGGTGATCCGCGATGTATTTTTTCAAGTATCCCTTCCGGACCATGTCCTCTATCTGGTCCTTCAGTTGGATACACTCCTCAGTGTTGTGGCCCGAAGACTCGTGGAACTCACACCACTGATTTTTATTTTTTCGCTGATACCACTCTGGGAGTGGTCGCGGCTTTCGGTAACTCTGCTCTTCCTTCGTCACACCGTAAATTTTGGCGCGTGGAAGAGAGAGCGGAGTGTAGGACTCGTATCTTCCTGTGTATGAGGCAAATCTGTCCTTCTTTAGGTCGTTGGCCAAAGATGGCTCCGGAGCCTTTGATTTTCCCTTTGCCTTATGGCCTTGGCCTTCAGACAAGGGTATTTGCCTCTGTTTCCCTCCCCCGGATTGAGGTTGGGTTTTTGCTTTATTCCATTCTTCGGCTCGGATGAACTTATCCGAAGCACTAAGAGCTTCCTCCAAGGTCTGCGGGGTATGCATGACCATGAAGTCTAGGAACTTTCCTGGCTGAAGGCCATTCTGCATTGCAAAAACAGCTAACCCCTGGTCCAGCTGGGAGACGCTTGATGACTCGTTACTGAAACGGGTCAGGTAGTCTCGGAGGCTTTCGGTTTCCCCCTGTTGCAGACTCATGAGCTCTGCGGTAGTCTTCTCTCGGCGGTTTGCCGTGGAAAACTTGCTCCTGAACTTGGAGGACAGATCATCCCAACCTGTTATGGAGCCTTGCCTTACTCCCTTGGAGATCCACGCTTGCGCGACCCCCTTGAGAGTGGTTGGGAAATATTTGCACCAAGTCGCCTCGGATCTGGGGCAAAGATGCATATGAGTCTCATACGAGGCCACGTGGTCCTTCGGATCCGTGGTCCCGTCATATGTGATATGCGACGGTATTTTAACCGTGGGTACGCGCTCTTCCAGTATCCATTGCTCGAATGGTGAACTAGCGGGTAGCATAACGGCCTTGCCCTTGTTCCTGGCCGAAGGGACCGCGCTCCGCCCTCTTAGAGAGGTAGGAGTGGTTTTCGTCCCTGGCTGGGAAGTCTGGGCCTCGGCTGCAGGGAACGAGAGGCGGCTACGCACGCTCGGTTCCTGGCCGCCGAGTCGGTCAAGGACGCTTCTGCGAACAGTCTCAGGTTCTCGGCGAGTAGATTCTGGCCGAGAAGCTGAGCTGCTGCTCTTATGCGCTTCTGGTCTTGAGGATGAGGATCCTTTAAATAACTGAGGGTTCTTTTTCCTCTGTTTTTCATTTTTCCAAGAATCCTCCTCCCATTCTTCCAGTTCCCGAAAGGAAGGAAGCTTCCCACCGTCATGGTTTAACTTCCTCCGCTGATGCCGGGTATGCGGAGGAGTTCGATCACGAGGCGGTGGCATATTCTGTGCCCTCATTGCCTCCATGAGTACTGCCAGCGCTCTTGCCACCTCTTCCGAACTGGGCCCCGTCAAAGGGGTCCTCAGCCGAGTGTGGGAATGAGGCCGCGCAGCCGATGGTTGGCTTTGGGACACTGAATATGTCCCATGATCAGACTGACCCCTGCTAGACCGAGAGTGGTCCGGCCTATATTGAGAGTCATGCATTACGGGAGATAGGGAATCCTCCTTGTATGATCCTCCCCCCGAGCCGGCACCCTTGGGAGAGTTCCGGTCCGGCGAGGGCGGTGGTGTAGGGGTTTTAGGCTTTTCGCCCGCTCCTTGACGGAGGCTTTTGCTCTTGCGGTTCTTAGCCATGGCTGCTAAGATAATTGCAAGATGATCTTGGTTAGGAATTTGGCTTAAAGATTTTTGAAAGTCTTCCCCACAGACGGCGCCAAATTGTTTCGGGTGAAAACAATGGGACCTTGCCGAAGGTCCGCTGAAATGGAGAAGACTGGATTCGGTCCAAGTTATGTTGGGCCGAAGGTTTCCTGCACAGTAAACACACGTAAACTAGCCTCGGGGGTGTTGCCGAGGAAGGCCCCTCCGATGCTAAAGTCAGTACAATGTGTAAAAAGAAGACACTATGCAAGAGAGTTTGTAGCTTGAGGCTTTTGTGGAATATATCCGAATGTCTCAATGAGTATATGAATTAGAATATGAATATCTATCTATGAATGTGTCAATATGATGGCTTTTATACCTCATCATACATGGAGAGGTTGGGCTTTAGCCCAATTGGCTTGCTTTGTGGGCTGACCTTTGACTTTTGCACAATTGGAGAGTTGAACCTTGACCTTGGGCTTTTAATTGGATCATTTAGTGCTTAGGCCCAATTTTGACTAAATTGGACCCAAACATGTACTATACAATGTTCGGGATGATGCTTGTTTCATTGACACCAAGACAAGAAATTTCAGCCATTTTCTTGACATTATTTGCCACCTTATGGAATCTATTTGCTGGTTTTTTCCTTCCTAGAACGGTATGTATTCTCTTCTTATAAAAAAAATAACCACTCTACATAATACGCATGTTAAAACATCAAAGATTGTTTCTAATCAGATAAAGTACGCTACATGATATTTTATTTAATGATGGAGGGTGTAAATTATACTTCATAACTCGTTTCAAATATTGCATTTTGCAGCTAATTCCAATTTGGTGGAGGTGGTTTTATTGGGTTTCACCCGTTTCTTGGACAATGTACGGTTTGTTGACGTCGCAAATTGGTGATAAGAACAATTTAGTTGAAATACCCGAAGTGGGCAATTTGCCCTTGAATCTTATTCTAAAAGAAATGTTGGGTTATGAATATCATTTCTTATCCATTGTTGCTGTTGCTCATACTGCTTGGGTTCTCCTCTTTTCCTTTGTTTTCGCCTTTGGCATCAAGTTCCTCAACTTCCAGCAAAGATGATCATTTTGTACGTATAGTAAGTATAAAACAAGGAAAATAATTCCCAACTTTACTATGTGTGAATTATTAAACAAATACAATTGCAATTACAAATATTCATGATTAAATACTAATTAATGAAATTGAGGTCACGAGTTCAAACATTATTATTGCTACTAACACTTTTTTACTTTTTAAAAACATTAGATGTATTTCTTTTGTACCCTTCTGTATTTTTTCATAGTATGGTAAGTCTTATCTATAGATGTATACACATATTAGCTAGTTGAGTGTGCGAAGGATACTGAAGGAGTTTAGGTTGTACATTGAATTTGAGATAAAAAAAATATCACGAATTCTGAACCTTTTATTTTAATCGATTAAAAGCATATCCATAAATGGATCTTGTTTTTTTTCCTCAAAAAAAATAATGGATCTTGTTTCAAATTACAAAGTGTTTTTGTAAAAAAAAAACTTGCGGAGGAGGAGATGATGATGACGATAAAGACGACGATGACAGCTATGGTGGATCTCTTTCTCTCCCTGTAGGCGACGATGATGATAACGATGACGACATTAATGGCGAAGGAGAGAAGCGAGGTCATTCATGGCGGAAGAGAGAGAAAGTTTAGTACTCGAATTTTTCGTAACATGCCCGAAAAATCAAATTGGGGCTTTCTTATGTGACGTATAATTGTTGAAATTGTTTGTCTTATATGATTGTATGTTGAATTGTAAGAATTTTGATGACAAATGCATGTATTTTGGTTGAAAAATGAGCAAGTTATGTATACCAATGACCTTTAGTACGAGCTCTAATGGAGGTTTCACCATTGTTAGTTATACATAGCATCAAACAAATTATACATATCCTCAAATAAGTTATACATATCCTCCATCAAATAATTTACATCCTCAAATCTACATATCATTTACTGGCTGGATGATATCATTTCTTGGCTGGATCATATCCTCTGTTGTCTATATGATATTATGACTGGATCATATCCTCTATTGGCCATATGGTATCCATTTATGATTGTGTCTATGATATTCTTTATTGGCTAGATGATTCTCTATTGGTTGAATGATATTCTCTACTTATTAGATGATATCCTCTATTGGCTATATGATATCATGGCTGGATGATATTTTCTATTGGATATATGATATCATTTATGATTATGTCTATGATATCCTTTATTGGCTGGATGATGTCATCTACTGGCTATATAATATCATGGCTGAATAATATCCTCTATTGGCTATATGATATTATCCGGCCATAATGTCATATAGCCAATAGAGAATATCATCCAGCCATTAGAGAATATCATCCAGCCAGTAGAGAGTATCAAAAATCCGCTGAACTGACGAAACATTTAGTCAGTCTTGACTAACGCAATACCTTCTAAAAAAAATGTATACAAAAATCAAAATTATGTGATAATTATAGAACTTTAATATTTAATTTTTAGGTATGAATTGTTTGGAAGTTCATCAAAAATAAACTATTGGCGCTTACTTGACATCACATGTTTCATATTAATGCATAATTGTCATTGATATTATTAAGATGTCTATATGGTTTCAATATACTATTCATCAGGATCATTCCACAGTTATACATGTAAACTTTAAAATATGCCACCATTACTAGTTTTTTTTTTTTTTTTTTTTTACAATAGCAAAGGTGCAAGACAGACCAAGTATAATTAGACAAAGTAAAATGACATCTTCTTGCTATGTTGTTTGCCCGTAGTACCTGTTGTATGGGGGGTATGTGGAACGGGCTGACATCTTTTATAAATATTGATATGAACCCAGTATGGCTGACAAAATGGCTGATATGTCTTATAAAGCAGACATGTCGGCTTGTCGGTATTTGGCACGTGGCAACAATAACTTGACACTTGTCAGGAAAAGCTTTGCATGCTTTGTAGCCACCTGTCTTAGGATTTATTATAAATAGTAGGTTAAACCTCATTAATGGTAAGCATTTATTACTCTCTATCTCTCTTTCTCTCTATCTCTTTCTCTCTAATTTCTCTTCTTAAACACTGTCTGACTTTGTCATCGGAGTGGTTATCCCTGGATCACCCCAGGGTTAGCTAATCCTTTCTCTTTGTGTAGGTTCTCTTCTGGCCGATAGGAGCTTCACGGGTTACATACTCGGGCTTTGAACTTTTGAACCGGGTTGTCGGATCCTTGCAAGAACAATTGGCGCTAGAAGGAGGGGAGCTGCATAATTGCTTCTATCGCCTAAGAACCTCACATCCTTAATTCCAAAAAAAAGGCCTAAAAACTAGAGCACGCCAATAGCCGAGAAGATGGTTAATCGGACAGTCAGAGTGGGCACTGGGGTGCTGAATCTGGAAATTGAGATCGAAGATGAAACCCATACTTTATAAGGCAACCAGTTTCATATGCCGTTAACCCCGGAGGGTCAAGGTGAGGGGGATCAAGATCCAATGGTTGAGTTCACGCCAGAAGAACTAGAAACAGCAGCAAGGGCAATGAGTGCCATGAGTAAGAAAAGGAAAGAAATTAGGGCAACCCAAGATGGGGAAGGGGTGCCAATTACCAGTCATGGTAACCAGTCTAACCGGGCTGGAGGTTTGCAAAGGCTTCGACGTGATAGGTCGCCGATAAGATCACAACCAACTCGATGGGAGTCAGAAGCTCAGTCTACGGGTCCTGTTGTAAGCACAGAAAATCAGCAGCAAGGGGCAGTGCGAACGATAGTCTAGTTGAGGGCGTCGCCGTGTACACAAGGGATCTTAGATCAGCCTATGGAGAAGATAAAGATGCCAACATGTCGGTATGATGGAAGAGGGGACCCAAGTCGATATATAACCTCCTATGAGGGGCACATGATCCTGTATACCAACTCAGACGTTGTATGGTGCAAAGTCTTTCCAACCACTTTGACTGGGGCAGCAGCGAATTGGTTTAACAACCTAGGTAATGGAACCATAGACAGCTTTGAGAAGCTGACAGAGATGTTTGTTGGGCAGTATATCAGCAACAATGTAAGGCAAAGAACTTCGGGGGAATTGATGGCAGTAGAGCAGCGACCAGATGATCCTTTGAGAGATTACATCAGGCGGCTTAACAATGAGGCGAACACAATTCCGAAATTGCAACAAGAAATCGTTGTAATGGCTCTAATGAATGGCTTGAATGATTCTGAGTTCAAGCGTTATCTCACAAGAAAGATTTTTCCCACGTTAGCAGTCGCTTTCAACAAAGCGCATGATTACATCAAAAGTGAAGAGTTGATGAAGACAAGTAACAAAAATGTGTCAGCTCGAAAGGGGCAGTATCAAGCTGAAGGTGCAGCCTCCGGAAGTGTAAGGCCGAGAGCTCCGGCCTCGGGAAGGGGAGGAAATCGGCAGGAAACTAGGGCAGCCAGACCGCCAATGCGATATAGTTCGTATACACCCCTTAATACACTAAGGGCGTCAATCTATTCAGTGAATCAGAATAGGGAAGGATGGGTAAGACCGATTCCAATGAAAGCAAAGCCGAGGGATTCCAAGAAATACTGCATGTTTCACAGGGACATGGGTCATTATACTGAAGAGTGTACACAGTTGAAGGATAATATAGAAGAGCTGATAAGAAAGGGTCATTTAACTCAATATCGGTTAAATGCAGGTGGGAGCCAACCACCACCTCGGCAAATTGAAAGACAACAACTTGAGGTTAGGCCGGAAAGGTCGCAAAGAGGAGTGGTCTGACAGGGAGGTGGAGGAATTCCACCATTGTCAACAGGAATAGGAGTTGATGTGATAACCGGAGGGTCGGTGCATGGAGGAACAGTTAGTGGAGCAAAGAAACACTTGTCAGAGCACTGCCATATAATCAATGCCTTGGATACCGATAGTCGCCCTAGGCCAACTTCAATTCCAGATGTTATATTCACTGAAGAGGATACAAGGGGAATAGTCTTCCCACATGATGACTCGCTAGTGTCGATAACCAAGATCAATGGAGATGACATCAAAAGAGTTCTAGTAGATGGAGGAAGTTCGGCAAATGTTCTATTTATGAAGGCCTTTAATGAGATGATGATAGGAAGGCAATACCTGACACAGGTATCATATCCAGTTATTGGGTTTAATAGGTCATCAGTGAGACCGGAAGGGAGCATAGGCTTGCCGGTACGGCTGGGTGATGAACCAAATGCGAGAGATGTGATGGCAGAGTTTTTAGTAGTCAATGTTCCATCGGCTTATAACGCGATTATTGGAAGGCCGATAATTCATGATATCCAAGCTGTTGTGTCGACGTATCATTTGACGATAGCTTATGTGTCAGGGGGCTATGGAGAAGGTTCATGGAGGGCAAGTTATGGCGAAATCTTTTTATGTAACGGCTTTGAAGAATCCAGTTGGGGATGGTTTAGTGTCGAGTAATCCTAAAAAGGAACTGGAGACAACGGTGCGCGACTTGTCTATGAGTAATTTTGATACAAGACCAAAAGCAGCTCCAAGGCCGTTACAAGGAGGATAAACGGTGCAGGTTGAGTTGCAGCCAGGCGACCCCAGCCGAACGGTTAGAGTTGGAGCGGATATGGATGTTGACATGAGATGAAATTTGATAAGTTTGTTGCGCGAAAATGCTGATGTCTTTGCTTTCTCAGCGAGTGAAATGCCTGGGACTCACCCAGGGGTAATGGAACATAAGTTAAATGTCAACAGGGGATTCAGGCCGGTAAAGCAGAAAAAGCGAAACTTCCCTACTGAGAAGATAAAAGCTATACAAGCGGAAGTTAATAAACTCTTAGCGGCGGGTTTTATTGAGCCATGCACGTATCCAGAGTGGTTGGCAAATGTTGTTATGGTAAAAAAGCCGACGGGGAAGTGGCGAATGTGTGTTGACTTTACTGATTTAAACAGGGCTTGTCCCAAGGACTGTTATCCGTTGCCTTGGATAGATAGACTGGTGGATTTCACTTCCGGCCATGAAATGCTTAGCTTTTTGGATGCGTTTTCAGGGTACCACCAAGTCAGTCTTCACAAAGCCGACAGGGATAAAACAACCTTCATAATGGATGTTGGGGTATATTGTTATAAGGCAATGCCGTTTGGGTTAAAGAATGCCAGGGCGACCTATCAAAAATTGGTTGATAATATTTTTTAAAGACAGAAGGGCCGGAATGTGGAGGTATATGTGGATGATACCATTGTTAAAAGCAAGAAAAATAGGGATCACATAGCAGAATTGAAGGAAACATTTGAGACCTTACGATAGTATCAGATGAAGTTGAATCTAAAAAAGTGTGTGTTCGGTGTTCGATTAGGGAATTTTTTAGGCTTTATGGTTAGTGAGAAGGGGATAAATGCAAATCCTGATAAGGTGAACGCGGTACTTGAGATGAAACAGCCAAAGACTATCCGAGATATACAAAGGCTGACTGGCCGAATGGTAGGATTAACTCGTTTCATCAGCAAGTCAGCTGATAAGGCACTTCCCTTTTTGTGGTCTTACGGAAGAACAAAGCGTTTGAATGGGGAAAAGAACAACGGGATGCATTAGAGGTAGTAAGGAATCATTTAAGATCTATCCAAACGGTTGCAAGACCGGGAAGCGGAGAGCAGCTGCAGTTATATATCTCAGCATCTCCGAAGACAATAGCTGCGGTGTTAGTAATGGAAAGGAAAAAACAGCAAATGCCGATATATTTTGTTAGTCATGTACTGAATGCGGCAGAGCGCAGATATCCAATAATTGAGAAGATGGCATTGGCAGTGGTGATAGCGGCAAGAAAGTTAAGACCATACTTTGACGCACATCCAATAGATGTTCTGATAAATAATCCGTTGGAAAAATCTTTGCACAAGATGGATACGTCAGGACGGTTGTTGAAGTGGGCGGTAGAGTTGTCGGAATATGAGATAAACTATAAGCCCAGGGTATCAATAAAGGCACATGCCTTATCAGACTTCATAGTAGAGGCTTCATATACAGATGAAGAGGAGGAAATAGACACCTGACAGGTTTCAGTAGTTTGTAATTTGATGTTTAAAGTTTAATAAAGCTTTTCCTTTTTATTTTGAATGATCAAGTACATATTTAACATATGAAGTATTTATTATTATAAATTTATAACGTCACAGGTCTCTGTGGATGGATCTGCAACATCAATAGGATCAGGGGCAGGAATAGTTGTAACGGCTCCAGATGGGCAAGTCTTTGAATATGCAATTAAATTTAAATTCAAGGCAACCAACAATGAAGCTGAGTATGAAGCAGCAGTGGCAGGAATTCAGTTATCCATTGCGGCTGAAGCAAAACGGTTAATTCTGACAACTGATTCCCAACTCTTGTCAAGTTAGTACAATGGAGATTATGAGACACGAGAATCAGCAATGATCAAATACCTAGAAAAAATGAATCAACTAACGACACAACTGCAGTACTTTGAAATAAAGCTTGTACCGAGAGCCCAAAACGCGCAAGCTGATGCTTTGGCAAGATTGGCCAGTTCAAGTTTCAATAACTTGGAAAGAACCGTGATGGTTGAAGTTTTGAGTCAGAAGAGTATAGATGAAGTATTAGAGCAAGTACTTTGTGTCAATAGCGCCACCCAATGGTATGATAACATATTGGCATTTCTCATACATGGGGTGTTGCCAGCATATAAGGGAGAATCACGGAAGTTACGAAAGGACAGTGTGTGGTTCATTATGCATCAAGGGCAGTTGTATAAAAGAATCTTTTCATTACCGTTGATGAGATGTATAAGTGATCTTGAATCGAAAAAGTTAATTAAAGAAATACATGAAGGTACATGCGGCAACCACCTTGGGCCGAGAGTTCTATCAAGAGAAGCAATGAGGAGAGGCTATTACTGGCTGACTATGAATGAAGATGCGGTCCGATATGTGAGAACATGTGAAAAGTGCCAGAAGTTTCTGCAAGCTACAATCTACTGCCAAACAATTTAACACCAATACTGAATCCGGTTCCTTTTGCGCAATGGGGAATGGATATAGTAGGACCGTTTCCATCAGCAACAGGCGGTAGGAAGTTTTTATTGGTGTCTATTGATTATTTAAAAAAGTGGATAGAGGCTGAGCCGGTAGCGAAAATAACAGCGGCAGAGGTTAAAAAATACATTTGGAAAAAATATTCACAAGGTTTGGGTTGCCGATGGCCATGGTTTTCGACCATGGGTCTCATTTTGATTGTAAGCCGGTGAAAGAGCTTTTGTCAATGTACAAAGTAAAATTTACATATGCGGCGGTATGCCATCCGCAATCGAATGGACAAGCGGAGGCAGCGAATAAGCAAATCATAACGACAATTAAAAAGAAGATAGAAGATGCAAAAGGATTATGGGCTGACTTGTTACCAGAAATATTATGGGCTAATAGAACAACGGCTAAAGAAGCAACGGGTGAATCGCCTTTCACATTGGTTTTTGGAACAGAAGCAGTAGTGTCGGCAGAGGTAGGGTTGCCAACATTTAGAATCCAACACTATTGTGAGGAACAAAATGATCTTCTATTACGGAAATAGTTGGACTTCCTACAAAAGTGCGGGAAAAGGCAGCAGTTAAATCGTCTTCTTATAAGAATAGAATGTCAAGGGCTTATAATAAGCGCGCCAATCATCGCCCTCTTACTGTTGGAGATCTTGTATTACGAAGAACGGCCGCGACAGGAAAAGGGAATGAAGATGGGAAGTTAATGGCAAACTGGGAAGGACCATACCGTATTAGGGATATGGTAATACAGGGTTCATATTTCCTAGAAACGATGGATGGAAAACCATTAAAAAAATGTTTGGAACACAACTGTGTTAAAAAAATATTTTGCATAGCATATTGTAAATAGAAAAATAAGTAGTACTATGTATTTTGAGAAGCATTAGCAATAAATACAAGCAATTTTGAAGAAAAATTGTCATTTTATAGGCATCCTCTACTTAACATACCACCGTTATGTAGGATGGACAGCTAAAAACCACTTCCGTGAAGTCAATGCGCTTATAACCTGATCAGTTATAAACATTGGTTCACGAGGTTGTTGGTTCAACATATAATACCGGTAAAATCGATTCAAGTATATGCTGAATTGAGGCATAGCTTTGAGTGTGATCGCCGAGAGGATGCTTAACTGACTACGACTATAGTGCAGTAAGTGATCAAGGTTGTACAATGAACCAACGAACAGTGTATATAATTGTTTCTCAACCATATACAATACGTAAATGTGCAGATATATATGCATAAGTTTATGTTTGAATTATTTTTAACATAACATAAATTTTTAAAATTTTCTATGTGTTCTGGTAAAATTGCCAATAATGATAAAATCAAGTTGTCGAGAAAGATGAGATTACGACTAAAAAATAGTTGAAAACTAAATGTCGTGATTGAAGTAATGGTTGAAAACTAGAAAAGCTGACAGTTGATAAAACAACTTAAAGAGGATGCCGCGGGTATAAAGTATATGGTGAATTAAGAACATCTAGATTAAGAACGTCTAGTAATGGAAATTTTGAGAATAGATAGGATATGTTCAAACAGATACGGAATGTTCACGACAGTTAGAGATAATAATCGACAGGCATCACCACAAAAAAGGGTATATGCCGATACAACAACATTGTAGATAAAAAGTCAAACAAAAATAAATAATTACATGTTTTAAATTAAAGCTGATAAGGCCCAACTATGCAAGACCCACAAGAGGATGTCGGTGATGACTGCCCGCCCCTTTAAGCTTGTGTATTTTCAGGAGCTGGGGAGTCTAAGATGCTAGGATTTGAAATGCCTTCATCATCATCTGGAACCAGGTTGAAAAGGTCTTCGTCTGCAAACTTTTATTCCTCGAAACCACAAGGAATCTTGTAAGCTTCTTCATTAAAGGCCTTTTCAACAGCGACCCAGTCCTTCTTCTTCCTGCCAGCAGCGTGGGCAATGCATCTTTGAGCAGTAGTCTATCCCCCATCAAAACGGTTCTGAAGCCGTGTGCAGAACTCCTGAGATGTTAGAAAACGGTTAACTGCCCTTTGCCGGATTCCAGGCTTATCCGCCTCCAACTTCTTAACTTTTTCTTCAAGATCACAATTGGAAACCTTGGCAGCATTAAGATCCTTCTCAAGGGTAGGAAGGCGGATGATAGCCTTGTTTTTCTCAGCAATTTGGGTCTTCAGTGTTGAACTTCCAACTCAAGACCATCAACCTTAGAGGCTTTATCCATGAGAGATGACATCCCAAGATCGTCCCTCTCTTTCGCTTCCTTGAAATTCTGCAGAGCCTTACCAGCATTATCTAAGGCTGTTTGAAGTGCATTTTGACTAGCAGAGGCTTGATGATGCGGTTCTTGGCAATAGCGGTACATCACAACAAGCTCAGTGCCAGACATAACGGCCTATGTAATAATAAAGATAAATAAGTCAGTAA